CTCACGCATGTTGAAAATGTAGGGCTGTTATTACTCCAATATATAAACAATATATGTCTTAGAGAAAACAGAAATCTTTCACAGACCTGCTTTAGAGTTTTTACAGCAAATTTAGGTACCCTTCAAAACAAATTCCAGGATATGCCTTTCTTCAAATGTGTAGGCAAGAAATAATATTAAGAACAGTACAGCAAAAAAATTAAAAGACTCAGTGGAGAGCTGACAGCAATTTATATCCAAAAGCTCTTTACTATCTAACTCTTTGTACAAAGCCAAGTGTTTATGTGTTTACCTTCCTAAAATCAAATACATGAAACACTATCACAAAATTTCATTTTGTATTACATCACTTTTTGATGAGCTACTTAGCAGATGTAGCTTGCAGTGTCACACAGATGTGTATTCTTAAGAAAAATTAAGCAAATAGATAAATTTAAATGTGTCCCTAGACCCTTTAAAGGAAAACAGTTTCATTCTTGTTTATTAAAAAGGTTAGTACAACTAAACATCTTTGTGGGCTGGAACCATGGGATAGTTCCTAAAATTGTCTATGCTATTAAAAACAGAAATCTTTGATTAGGAGGGTGAAGTTGAAAGATATTCTTAAATCACCTACTACATCTACATGAACATTGCCATTCATTGCTGAAGAAAAAGTAACAAAATAAATAAACTAAACTAAAGACATGCAGCTGTACAATGTCTGGGTGCAACTTTGGAGGGTGTTTTGATAATCTGACTAAGAATGTCTTGTTTTATTGGAGTTTATAGCTCAGCCTCACAGTTGTCTATGTATAGCTGCCTATTTAATCACAAATAATAAGCTAGATTCAAACGAAAGACAGTTAAAAATCTATTCCAATCATAAATATAAATGCTGACACAGTTTTTGGTCTTAGATGATTTGAGTATTAAACTATGGAAGTTTATTTACTTTACTAAATATAATCATAGAAGATGAGAACTTTGAAATTTAATCTTTAAGTTATCTAAATATTTGCACAACAGCAACATACAAAGAATTTAACTAAAACAGTGGATGCACAGTAGCAAATCCAAATGCTAAATCTTTTGTCTTATGAATAGCTTTTCAGAAATATTTGTTTAAACGATAAATGTAAATACTGCACCATACTGCTCTCTCAGGAAGAGACAATTATTCTGAAATACCATAGCAAAGTCAGGCAATGAATGCCCTTAAATATTAAAGATGTTGTTTGTTGTTGCTGTTTTTGTTTAGATAGATCATTGACAGAATAGGTTTATGGGATCTTTGATGAAAATTTTTGCCAGGAAAATCAAGTCTTACAAGTTGTGAAAATTCCAATACCTGCATGTCATCACATCTGACAAATCTGACTCCAGTTGCATTAAAATCCTGAGCAAGGAAATTACAAAGTATTCAGTGCAATTCACGAAAAAAAAACCTCAAAAAAAATAAAAGACCAAAACAAAACCAATCAAAAAAGCCAATATACATTTTTCAACCCATTCTTTTATTCATACTAACTTTTTATCTGCTTTTCCATCAGTTTAGTGAAGTCAGTAATGATTTACCAGCATAAAACTCTTTACTCACAGAAAAACAACCATACCCTTTCTGTGTAAAATATTCAGTAGGAATACTGGTTGGAAAAAAAGGTCTTAGGAAATTCTCTTTCATAGGAAGCAGCATGCAGCACAGAACATACAAGGAGTTCAAAATACTTACTTTAAGGGCTATATCCCGATAAATGCAAATGTTGTTATTACATCCTAAAGCTCACCATCAGCACAGTTTAATTGTTGTTTTAAGGTTGTTTCTCATATTTCTTAGAGATTTCTCTAAAAGCCTTCAGGTACAAGAGCTTCTCTATATATCTTTGTGACAAACCATATTTCCAATTAATACCATCAGAAATTTTTGAGCACAAGTTTGAGAAGTGGAGCTCTGCAAAGCTCTGTTAATTGTTACCCTCTAAAACACATGAAAACTTAAAATAAATAAATAAAATGTAAAATCAGACCACTCAAGCAGATGCAACTCTAGTTAGAAATTCATAACTTGTAAAGAAGAAAACAGAAGAGTACACCAAAAGACAAAGGAACTCCACAGTACCTATGCAGAGTCTACAATCACTATATTTGTACTTGTTTGCAGTAGAGGTAAGCATTAGTATTATAGCTGTGAGTTCATGGAAAAAGTAAAGACATAACAAATGAACTTCAAATTACATTCAGATTCTCCCACCAGACTTGTGCATATTGAGAGAATATATATATATACACACACATATATATATAATATGTGCTCTCTGTCCTCCTTCTAACCAAAACAAAAGAACAAAATTAGCATAGATTTATTATGTTAACCTTATTCCTCCCAATGCAATAAACAGAGACTCTGAGTCTTAAGGTGGTAAGAATGGAAGAACTCTTTTCCATTCACTGGGATAGACAATGTCCAAGGAAGTATTTTTTACCTACTCAAAGCAAAAGCCATCTAAAAGAACCTACTCCTACAACTGCAACAATATCATTAGCTTCCAGATATCGTTAAAGTGATCCCATTCTCTACAATAAAATCACAACATATTTGGATTAGAAATAAATAAGAAAAACAACCAGTGAGAACTATTTCAGCAATTAAAAGAAAGCATCATAAAACCAGAAATTCCCTTTCCAAAGAGACTCTGTCATTGAGCTAAAACCATTCATTCTGTCCTTGCACAGGCTTGCAGATGACTACTAGATGTCATTTTCTGCTCTCCCAAGTAACTATTCCAAGTAAAGCCAAAAGTCTCTCTCACATGCTTAGCAGCTGCCTGGAAAGTCTCAGTATAATACTTTGCATGAGATAATTTGCAAGTCTGTGACAGGATGATGCCCTACAGCACACTTTCTCACAGAACAGCCTTCCAGGTCTCAGTCCCTCATTTCCCTCAGTTCTCTGCATAGCTCATACAACACATTATCATATAATCACAGAACATCCTGAAGTGGAAGTGACCCACTAGGGTCATCAAACAACCGACTCTCAACTCATAATGAGAATCTATCTTGAACTCCATTAGGAAATGAAGGAAGATGTATCAAGAAAAAATACTTTTACCCTACTTTGTCCTTTTCTCTCTTTTATTTACTGCACATAGTTAAATTAAATGTAAACTCAAATAAAAAGATACATAAGACACAGGAAATATTCTTTGAGGGCTCTTTGTAATCACCCTGGTCTTGCTGCAGTCTGTGGTGCCTGAGCAAGAACTCAGTCCAAAAATATCATGTAGAGAAAAACATTGAAAGGCTGCGATTTCATGCCTACTGTTACCGTCAGGTTTAAGTAGCTCCCTTGGCTCTTACACTCACAGCAATTAGAATTTCCAGACAGCTCGGTGGCAGATATTCTAGGTGTTCTCTATATTGCAGCACTAACTGGCAGATAGCAGTCAATTCTTACCATGAATGAATTAAACTCACTTGTATAACACACGGCTGTAAACCTAAAGACTTTTTTAAAAGGTTTCAAAGTTTTCATTCTGCCCTACATAGTTACAAAGCAACAACAGCCAGCTATGTGACGTAAGTCTCAATTTATATCATGGGCTAAGACTTACACTAGGATATGCAGGTCCCCATGCTGTTGTTTCTGGATCTCACGAATACATTTCTACACTTTTCCACTCATGCTAGTCTTTTCAGTAATAAGGTTATTTAAATATAGGAGAACATTATCTACTGAAGAACAAATACGTGCTTGATCAGAAGACTGGAGCATCAGACAAAGAGAAATAACCTACCATACATTTGTGATTTATTAGTCTAATTGCTTGAAGCTGGAATTTTATCAGGATTGTATCCTACATCAGAGAGATGATATACTTTTCCATTACCAGGAGGTTACTTAATATATCCAGATGGCAAAGGTTAAACTATATTTATGTCAACTTTGACAGGCTCTCTTCCTCTAATGACCTAAAGTCCATGAGGACCACAAGCAATTAGCACTCTAGGAAAGTCAGAACTTTAGGCCTTCAGGGGATTTTTCAGGTTGCTTTTGTCAGCAGGTACTAATTTTTAAGTTACACTGTGGCATTATTAAACATTGCTGCATTCCATATCCTTCTTTCGTGCCAATTATTAAAAATTTGGTAATGTAAATTTTGCTACTGAAATTAACTATCTATTCCAACTCCCTGCCTGTCTGTGCTACAGTTAGCTGGGCAAACCAGCAGCTGAATGCTTTTTAAACACACAACTGACTGTGTTTTGCAGGTGTGTAAGAACCTTCTATTTTTGACTGCTGCTGGTTGCAACCTCTAAGCTGCTTTTCTTCAACACCCATCCATAATGAGCACTTCTGATTTACAAGCAACATTCAAATACATTTTATAATAAATATTATAAGATAAAATCAGTCAAGGAGAGGGGAAAAGAAGTGTGACGGTACAACTTAGTAAGCAAAACGTGAAATTGCTATAATCAAACCCTGAGAATTTACCAGACACTTTATTAAACTGCAAGGCAATACTTTACAGTGCTGCTTTTAAAATATGTTAACACTATATCACAGTTCCCGGCAGCATGAAGTCTTTCCAGAAAATGTGTCATCACGGTACGCAGCATATTTTATAGCCAGTATAATTTCATTTTATTATATCCAATAATATTTTTCTGAAATTCTAGGAAGTCTCCCCACAAAAGATAAGTAATGACCACATTTTAATCAGCTGGCACAAAGCATAACCACCAGACCACAGGAAAAAACCCACCTTTGTTACATCAAAATGCCCTCAGTTTCATCTTGCCTCTGTGGAGCAGATAGTGAATAAAACCTGTGAGAACCTCATTCAAGTATAACATAGCACTAAACCTTTTAACTTTGAAGTTATTTAACTCCAAGACTGATATTTACAGTTGAGCCACTCTTGATAGAGGAAGCTGAATAAGCTCAGAATCCTACACATTGTACTATTGTAGCAAGAAAACCTCTAAGTGAAATAACATAATTTTCCTTTTCTTACCAGGCTTGGATTTCTGCTTTGTGGTCTGCCCGTGACTGGCAATCATTGCTGTGGAGCCTGGTATAATGGTCCTTTCCTCTAAATCAGACTCTGGGATTGTAGTGCAGCCACCTAGTTGAAAATGGAAGACATTTAAAGTGGTGTTTATGCAACAAAACAAACTCACTGGGGCATAATTGAGGAAAAGAGGCAATAAATTAGCTGACAGGAGCATATAAAACTAAAATAATCTTTACTTTCACTTCAAGGAAACATTTGCTAAAGAAAACTATTTCCATTGTTTAGAAGGTTGATTATGCTTTAATGAATTCTCTCTACTACTTACATCATCTTGAAAAAGAGTTTGAATTAACTTAGACCACAGAATACGCAAAACATGTTCCACATAAAACATGGAAAATAATGTGATTTGTGTTAAAGATCAGATTACTGGGAGCTATTTTTTGTAATAAAGTAATTATGTGTGAATGAAATAACTTTACAAAATCAACAAACCTTATGAAAATTGTTAGCATGCCACAAAGAATGACATACTGATTTTTTGGATGGGCCATTAAATACAGTATTTCTATTAAAGATACAAAAAACACAGGGACACTTGCAGTGTCCAACAACATGCCTTATTCAAGCAGTTATAGGATGTATGGTATAATAACTTCTTTGTATGTTTCAACATTGCTTTACAAGTCGTTCATTAGGCAACACACAGTTTTTTTCTTCAAATACGTTTCAATGCCTATGTTTAAAATATGAAGAGATATATAATTTAGTAGTAATAGTAGTAGTACTATCAGCTGTAGTGACTTGCAGTGGAATAGGCTGATGTAAATTTATTTCAGAACAGCTGTGGTCAGGACACTGGAGGATGTGTCACTATTCCACAGCAAAAAGATGGCCTCTCAGTGAGTGCATTGCCAACAATACAGTATGCAGCTGAGCTGCATCTTTTTCTCACAGCCCTCCCAGGAACACCACTAGCAAGCAAACAAATCCATGTACTCATCTAATGTGCTCTGAAAGCACATGCTTATAAGCAGCACCTCGACTCCCAACAGTGTGCAAAGACTTTTTACCTTCATAAGAGTTGTTCTATTTTGAAAAGACATGTTCTACTCCAGGCCCTGAAAAAAGAGCACCAAATTTGCAGAATGCAGGCTATCCTCCCTTTTTTAAACTAAATGAGTAAATTAATTAAAAATAAGGTTGCACTCCTAAGTAGAAGAGTTGCACTTTCCCTGGCAGTTTCAGAAGCCCTGGCAAACCAATGCACCATGTGTTGCAGAAATATAATGTCCTGACTAGCCAGGGTAAAGCACAGCAGCTCCAGTGAATCCTGTGAAAACACACAATCCTACCAGATGAAGAACTAATACAGCATCTTTTGCTCCTAAGAAAGAGTAAAGACACAAGCGGCTTTATCCAAATACACCCTGAAAGTATAAGGTGCATCACAGGATTTATGTTCGATTTGCAGCAAGCAAATCTTGACAGTAAGAAAGAAAGGTTAGGAGTAAATGTGTCAGTGTACAGACTTGCAATCCATGACAGCTTCAAGTATTTAGGATACCTGCTATGAAAATAGAAGAAAAAACTCTAAATTAGAAAAATCTCTTCATGTTAAAATACTGTAACAATGGGGTTATGTCTGACATTGCATTAAATATAAATGTATCAACAGCCTAAATGAAAATAAATATCTGTAAACCAATACTTCTGTTGTCATTTGAAAATTGTGACTAAAATGTGAACTAAGAGATTTGAGGAAATGGAAATGAGTGCTTTAAAAGTCGATTTCAATTTTTTTCATTCTTATTGTTCAGATAAAATCTACACTCTTAAACACTAGCCTGTAAATACAGGATACAAAATTAAGGTTTCTTGCCCCAAAGAACTATTAAGAATGATATCATACATTTTAATATTATAACATTTTGTAACAGCATAAGCAAAAACTCACCAAGTCAATTAGGATCTATTGAATTTCTACATGGAAATAGAGAACTTTTCTAACATTCATTCTAAAACCCAAAATTCAGTAACTTACATAGCCTTGAGGACTGATGGCCTTTGGTGCCAAAATATTTCATTAGTTTGCAATGCTGACAGTAACTAAATAAGAGTGGGAAAAGGTCTATTTGCATTAGCTACAACACACTACTTGTTAAAAGGAAGCAGGATGTCATGATTTTGATTTTAACGTGAGAGATTGAGATTTATTTGTCATGATACCATCACAAGTTATTTCAATTAAAACAAAAATTAACTTCTTCCATAAATTTATTTTACTGAGAATACTGACGACTGAAATGTTACCAGTGACATACTATTTTACGTCAAAAGAAAATTTAGACAGAACACACAGAGCAGTATTATCAGCATCAATACTAAGAGTAGTAATTACAAGTTACTTCAACCAGGATGCCAATAATGGTTTCTTTCCTATGAATTATATTTTAAATGCTATTGTTTCATAAAGGCATTCCATGTGCTAAAAGCACTGTTCTCAGTGGAGTGGGATTTCACTAGGATTTTTGTGACAATAGTTATTTAAGTGATCAAACAAGAAATCAGTATAATAGTTGTACTTTCACCTTTTTTCGAGAAAATGAGGCTTACAGGATCATTTCTACCTTGCTATTTTAATACCAGTACTACCTTCTAAAGGAAGAAGCTACTCAAATTTGTTTAAATGTCGCTTAACTTGCTCAGATGCATAGTGCTGGGTAGTATGACTGGGCCCTCATACACACATAGCCTGCCTCAACACAAGTGGTACCCACTTCCAAAGAAACTAACAAGAAATTTTCTGTGCCAATCAGAACAGGTACCCATCCTCAAGATAACAATGGACACCCTTGACAACATGCTATGATTTCCTACAGGAAGGAAGGTGTGGAGACCACACTGAGACTATTGTCACACTGAAAGAATGGAAACATTCAAAGAAAATTTCAAACTTTCACTAGACTGAAAAAGAAACTGGATAAGCCACAAATATACACTACTGAATATAATATTTGAACCATGGTAGACCAGGATTTTGTGATTCAAAAACATTTTACAACTCAGGACAGCTATATGGAAAAAAAGAAAAAAAAAACAAAAACTTTTCTGCTAGGACTACAAGCTTTTCATTTCATACTTCAAAATATCTACTCATGGTCTGTATTCTGACTTCTCTGATCAGAACACTTTTAAATTACAAGAACTCTGAATTTTTTTATATCTCTAAATACCTTTCAATAAGTATTCACTGAATGTCTGTTTTAGCAACTATTTTCAGTTTTTATCCACATTGAATGCTAAAAGAAATCACAGCAACAAAATCATTTACATTCATTCACAATTAACTGAATGGTACAGATCTGAAAAGTGAAATATTAAAGGAAAAAAGGGGAAAGGATGAGGAATAGTAGTACATAAATCTACACACTGGAAATGATCCAAGCTGAGAAGTCCTCCAGATGTCAGTCTGTAAACAGAGCTTCATAAAATGAATTTCCCCATTAATTGTTGGCAGGAATAACATCTAGAATATGTTATTACATCTGACCCACTCTTTTCCCCTTTTCTGTGTAGCTAAATTTTTGTCTGGCATCACAGATCTTTTATCAGTTGTGATAAATCCAAGAAAGCAAGCTTTTGTCAACAAAACTGCTTGATAGGGTACAACATGCAAAAAATTACACTCAAGCTAATTGTGAACTTTGTTCACCAAAGGAAATGAGACTTCTCTTGCTTATTTTCACTACATCTGTTTTTGTAAAACTTTTGGTTCTTAAGTTGGAAAAAGATACCCACACCCAAAGGAAACATAAACATATAACACATATTGAACAAAAATTAAGCACTGACAGTTTTCTTACAGGTTCCTATCACCATGTTTTTATGCATTTTAATATGGTTTTAAAAGTTGAAAAACAGGAAAACAAAAGTGGTATACATCAGAAAAAATGAAAAGTCACTTTGAGGTAAGGAGTATTTGAGTTTCCTTTTTCTTTTCCACTCAATCACAACCTAAACTATGCATAAAGTTTCCATTTTCCTCTGAAATTAACTATTACAAGAGTCCACAGAAAGAAGAAAAAACAGCTTCCTGAGCAGTCTTTGGCAGCAAGATAGTCAAAATGTGAGCAGTAAGCTCTGTAAATAGCAGGTTTTGCATCCGTATGTATACCACTATAAAATGGGGATAATCTAGAGAGTAAAATTATTTCATAGACATTCCCAAAAGCTATACCCAAAACCATGTTCACTTGGGTTTTCTGTTCCGTTGACAATTTTAGGAAAGTGTACACCAAAAATGAAGTCTAATGCTTTAGAAGTTATTCTCTCTAAAAGTGTTTATCAATTACTTGTACTGATTCAGTTAGCTACATTTATTCAAGTCCTGTAAATTTTATTAGGATCTGCCCATCAAAAAGTAACTTTCCTGTTGAAATAAACACTGCATGCAGGTTCTGAAGATAAGTACTGCTACTGCTGCAGTTTAAATGGAAGATAAAACAACACAATCTATAAAAGAAAACAATACATATTTGAGTGTACTATGAGATCCATGGAACATTTATTCACATACCAGCCCTGGATTAGAGGCTATCATTTGAATAGACACATTCCAGGAATGCAAACAAATTTCCATTGCAGAGTTTGAGGAGAAAGAGGGAGAAGACTTATGAAGAAGGGGAAAAGTGAGGGAGAGAAATAGGGAGGGAGAAAGAGGGGGTGGGGGGACTAAGACAGAAAGGAAGGCAGGGAGTGGGGTGAGGAAAGCAGAGAAAAGGTAGATTTGCTGGTTTATTTTTTCCTCCTAAATGGGTATCTGGTAACAAATACTGTTACAATTCACAATAGCAAACAGTCCAGGTTTAGTTTGGATATTCACTTACAGAATGTAGAGTCACTAAATAATCAGTTAAAGATTTCAGAACATATCACTTAAGTCTAACAGTGGCTACAATCCTGCAGCCACACAATTCCATTGTTTCTGTCTGCCTTGACACAACCAAATTCGACAAAATAATGGAAAATATTTCTGTATTACATTCCAGTAGAATAGTAAATTAGGGGAAAAGATTATATTAACAGAATATGTAGTACAAGGTCATAGA